CTGCCTTTTATCCCAATGGGAGAAAATATCATAGCTTTAACAACATCAGTGAAGGAATCAAATGTTTGTTTAATTGCAACTGAACATGTGAATAGGGGACTTGCTTCTGAATAGTTTTTTTCCCCCTTCCTATCCATAGTTTTCAATTGGCGCCCTGATCCACCCTAGATCTGTATGCATGGCCACGTTCTGCACATCATTTGTTGCATATCAGTAACGTTCACCTACATACTCTTCCTGTCCAAGGCTGCATCTCCCAATATCCTCTTACACTGAATAAATTGTGGGGGTCCTGTTTCCTGCCATTGGTGAACATGAAGAGCAAGCCTTGCAAACTGGAGGCTTGAAGGTCACATAAGACTCGCAGATCTGTTTTATTTGGACAGCACACTACTTGGAAAAGTTATTCTTTAGTCAATACATGAAAACTGGAAACTTCGATGTGAAAATTAAGCATTCTAGGTTTTCTTAAAAAAAAATCAGACTGGGGCATGTGGGTGGTTCAGTCGGTTGAGTGCCTGAATTTGGCTGAGGTCATGATCTTGCAGTTTGTGAATTCAAGCCCCACATTAGGCTCTGTGCTGACACCTTGGAGCCAGGAGTCTGCTTCAGATTCTTTGTCTCCCTCTCTCTCTGCCCCTCCACTGCTCGCATTCTCTCTCTCTCTCTCTCTCTCTCTCTCTCTCTCTCTCTCTCTCTGTCTCTCAAAAAATAATTATTTTAAATAAAAATTAAAAAAATCAGACGGCCCATTCTACAATGTAGCAGTTCTTCACGTGTACACGTATTCATTTCCCATAGACCACAGTCCTCATTATCCCCTATTGTGTCCCAGATGTGGAAAAGCCCAGTGAATGCTACCATTCATCTCTACTCTTTCATTGTATTCTCTTGTGGTGGGTAAATAGTTCCTTTGTCAATTACAGGAAAATGAGAGATGTCTGGGGAGTGCAGCTAATTTCAAGCAAAAACTAGAAACTGGCTTTCTTTGTGTCATCGAAGCACGTTCTTATACATCAGATGCAAACAAAAAGTGTGCCTGGAGCTTGAACCAGACATAATCTCTCATTTAAGACCGTTTCTTGTAGACATGGAAGTATGTGATCATTGAAAAATAGGAAGAGTGATCTTATTGTTGAAATAATCCCAATATCCCAGGAAGTAACTCCTTGCCAGTGGCACAGGATAATCCATGTGGGAAAGAAGGTCAAGGTGTGAAAAGTATTGGAGATACTGGAGTTACACATAATGGTGAAGTGAGGCTCTCACTAAACCCCCCTGCAACTCCAGTTGTTCATGCACTAGTCACTGCACCCTTACCCCCTCCACCCAAGGGGAATGGGGGGCTGCATTGAGAGGATGGATAGCATAAGATCCGTCCTGATTTCCTTCCTGATACTAAGATGTACAAATGAGTGAAAAATAGACCACAAGGAGAGACAGACAGCAGATAAGTAGCCTTTTCAGAGTCAGTGTAGGCCATATGCCATTTGGAAACAGAAGCGTCTGGTGGCTTCAAAGCCAGACAAATAATATCACTAAAGAGAGTACAGTGATGGGTGGTATGTCTTAATTTGGTTTCCTTGCTTATTAAAGTAACGTTTTTGGCAATCCATTTTTGTAATCTCTGTAAGATGATAATAACAGTTTTTCCTCTAAATGAAGTATGTCATAGTGCACTTATTTTCAGCTTCAGCAAAAACAATTCCTTTGTCTATTTGTCATGGTATTATCTAGCTGCTGGTAAGATAACTGTGTACCTGATGAAAACTATTGTTTTATTTCCTTTATTCTCCCACATCCTGCCCTCCACTTACCCTTTCTAATTTCTCAATTTTTTTCTTCTGCATAATGCAACTAGAACACTGCTAGATTTTTTTTTTTTTTTTAAATTACGTTGTCATGATTCCCTCCATAATAGGTTTACTGGGAAAGTCGGGTAAATCTCATAGCTCAATAGGGAAAACATTAAAAAAAAAAAAAAAAAAAAAACTCGAGTTGTACAAGAGGTGACATTACTGGGGAGTTTTTAACTGGAACTTGAGCCATGAGTCTATGGTTCTTAGGATTCTGGAAACTGCTAGTTACACGCAATACGAGATTGTTGAATTTAAGAATGCATTGTTATCATGTGGAAAAGCAATCTCTACGAAGAATCAAAAATATGTCATGAGAGAAAGACTTGTGGGTTTGATTTTTGGGGTTTGTTTTTTTGTTTTTGAAGAGGGAGTGCAGTACAGGAGATGTTTGGTTGTTTGGTTATATGGACAACATGGGTATTACTCTGGAAAGTTCACCCTTGTGTTTTTAAAGTCTTCTAGTATAAAATTGGAGGATACTAGAGGAAAATGACAGTGAATTTTAAATAAAAGGTATATCCTTATATTTCCTAGTGGTCTTAAAGAAAGCCATAGGATGGAAATAATGTAAATAGATGGGGAAATTATCTAAAGTAGGTCCAGCTAAAATGAAGATGTCTTTTTCAAAATTCCACTGCTTTTACTCTAGCCATAGACTACCAGCCCAAATGGTGTTTTAATCTTATAATATATCACATATTTAACTTATTTCAAATTTTTGAAATTTTAGCTATAACAAATTATCCTTCCTTCCTTGACTGTTTTTATTTGTGGACCAGTTGGTCTCTATATGTTGGAGACCAACTTCGCTGATTCTTGCTAAGTATAAGAATGGAATAGTAAATGGCGTTTTTGAATCCCTTCTACCATTTACCTCATTTTTCTAACAAAATAAGAAATTGAAATGGTATCAACAGTACCTGGGATATTTCCAGGTAATTTTCTATAATGTCTTTAATCAGTTCCCAGTGAATGGTTCCAGGTCATTTGTATGAGACTTCAGTCTGTGGCCCATTATTTTACTTTGTCACTCCCTTAAATAGTCAATTTCCAAATGTTTTATGCTTGATGATATGGCTAAGTTTACTTTTAGATCATCAAACATGTATTTAAGTTTCACTTTTTAGCCACTACATCCATGGCCCATCAGTCCTTTTAATTTTTGTCTTCAAGACCCTTTCAAAAGAAGATGCCAGCATAAAAGCATATTTTAATTTCTTTAGTCACAGCTTTCAACCTATTGTTTTCTGGTCCATTTTAACCAGATGCACTAACTCTAACTCTTTGGTCACTTGGAGTTACTATAATTAGTCTAACCGTGTTGCAACTCCAAGGTCATGTCTGATTCAAAGTTCTCTTCCCTTTCTCCAGATAGGGCTATGATCTTGGCCACTTGGACTTTGGTGAGAGGTGGGGTGGGTGGGGGGGGTTGTGTGTGGCTTCTAGATCCTCATTCCCTTTTCCCTTTCAAGGTCTACTCTTTTGGAAAGGAAGGGAGAGGAATAGTAGAAGCAGAGCTTACCGGAACTAGGCTGTTCGGTTTGTTGTTTTTGTTTTTGTTTCTCTCTAGCTCTGTATATGCTCTATGAGGGGAATGGTCTCTGTGTAGATGGTTTGCATTTGTAGGGGAAGGTCGTGGGAGGGTGGGTAGTGAGGGCTTTGTTCATCCCCCTGTTGGTGACTATAGTTGCTCACAACTACTGCAGAGGAGGATATCTAGAATCCTTTGAGTCCATCTGGAAGACTAGGTTTCCAGTTCCTTCTTGAGGATGGTACTTCCACACTTCTTGCTGCTCTTTCTCCACCCCCCCCCCCCCGTTCCTTCTTGTGGGGCTACAGAAATCATAGGAATTCTCTTCTGTGCCCCCATAACGGCATCTGGGACTTTAGAAGGGGGTTGCCGCACCATTCTTCTTCACAAGTATTATGAGCTTAATCCTTTTAAGACCTGCTGACATACTTTGAAGGCCTTTCTGCCTTCTGATAGCTGCAGCCCAGAAATAGGTACCAGGTTCTGTCCTATGTTTACCCCACATTCCGGGAGACAGGTGTCAACCTCCCCTAAGGACTTTCTCACTGTGCTCAATTCCAGCTCAGCATCAACCTGCCAGTTTCCCTCTCAAACTGCTTGTTCACTGAGTCTCCTCCTCCCCTGAAAGGCTTGGCTCTGGAAACAAATGGTTCTTGCCTGTTAAGTTTGGGACAGGCATGGGTAGGGTACCCTCTCACCACAAAGAACGCAAACCCATGGAATTTAAGGCTGCCTTTGGAGCTCTTTCTTCTTTGGTCTGGGGAATAGAGCGCAGAGAGAAAGGTTGGTGAGTGAGGAATCCTCCTGACTTGTTAGTACAGTTTTCTACACTTTCTGCATTTGCCACAGAGTCCTACTCTACGTGCTGTGAGAATGTTCGTGTGTCTCTATGTACGTGCATGATAGTTTCTCCCTCTTCCGTGAGTTTCAAGCCACTTTGAGGCAGAAATCAAGTCTGGCAGCTTTTTTCCCATCCCTACTAACTACCACTGTAACAATAAAAATAAGAAAGATAATAGCAAACACTTGAATGCTGCTTACTGTAAGTCAGTCCCTGTCCTAAAAGCATTGTATGTATTTTAATGCATTTAATCATCACAAACCCCATGAGGTCACTATTATTGTTGCACTGTTGGCTTCTGAAACTAGATAAAATATTAAGTAACTTGCCTGAGGTAACACAGTTGAGAAGTGGTAAAGCTGGGGCTGGAACCCAGGCAGTCTCATTGTGAGGCTCATCTATACTGATTGTTCTTGTCATAAACATATGGTATCACTGTGAACAGGTGTTGTTGGTAAAGATAATTAGACCCAGGGATAATTTGCTCAGTCTGATTTGGTATGTGAGAGAATACATTAAATTTTAATTTCAGTGGATTATTTTGTTTACAAGAAAAATCAGATTATTATTACCTATGCGTGCAACTTCGTAAATTGTTGAACTCAGTGAATAGGAAACTTTCTGGAATTAAGTATAAGCAGAAGGGTTACTCATGAAAGAATTGAGACTATTAAAGCAATTCCTTCCAAAGAGTCAAAGCAGTTATTTAGTGAGTAAGTATCCCTGGATGTATTAGATGTTCAAAAACAAAACCAAAAAGTTCAACACATATGGTTGTCTGGTCTCAGATGCTATCTGGCACTCCTGGTTTTATCGACAGGAAGACAGAATTGAGAACAGTACATTTCATGGTTCCTGCTTTACACCATCTTAAAACACTGGTGATCTCCTCCTAGCTTGAAACAGTTGCTTGTCTGACCTTGTCTCCTTTACTCCCCTTTTCATTTGCCCTCTGTCTCCACCTCTGGCTCTCCTCTGCACCCACCCATGTCCCCTCCAATCCGTCCACGGCACCAGCTGTGACGTATACTGCCTCTTCTCTCTTCCAGCTGGGGATTTGTTGGCTCTATCTCGTCCTCCTCCAGCTCCCTTCAGTTCTAACAATGGGTATCTGGGACCAATTGGACTCTCTTGACAGTGCTGTTAGGGAAGGAAAAAAAACTGGTCAATTAAAACACAGCATAAATTTTTTCCTGAGCTCTTAACCCTATCCCGTTTAATATGAACTTCTGCAAACCATTTCAAATTGTTACAAGCAACAAGTAAATTCAGTGAATGGGCTGTTGGGCAAATGGCTAGCTTTTTTTTTTTTTTTTAATTTTTTTTTTCAACGTTTATTTATTTTTGGGACAGACAGAGACAGCATGAACGGGGAAGGGGTAGAGAGAGAGGGAGACACAGAATCGGAAACAGGCTCCAGGCTCTGAGCCATCAGCCCAGAGCCTGACGCGGGGCTCGAACTCACGGACCGCGAGATCATGACCTGGCTGAAGTCGGACGCTTAACCGACTGCGCCACCCAGGCACCCCACCTTCTAAATGGCTAGCTTTAAATAAAGTAGCCCTTCAGTCAGCTGATGAGATTGGGAATTACCTTTTTGGATGTTGGCCCTGAGGCTGTCCCGGTTCTTGCCTTCCTGCTTGTTGAGTTCATCCTCTGATGCCATGAGTTCTCCCAGCATGCTTTGCACTTCAGTGGGTTCTGGTCGGCATCTGTGACTTGAAGGAAAGAGTCCTGACTGGTACTTCTGACCTTAGTTAAGCTAAGTCCTTGAGAGTTTCTTCTGGCAGTGGCAGAAAAGCAGAAAACTCGAGCAGAAAACAGCACTCCTGCTTTCAGGCTTACGTGTGGCCTGTGTACCCATGTTGCTCATAATAGAAGCCTGATATTATAGATACACACCAGTAGAGTTGGGGTTCAGGTCAGTGACTTGGTAACTTAGCTTAGTGATAGATTTTTGATTCTCTGATGAACAATGTTGACAGTTCTCTACTACTTAAAATCTCCTTGGTTTCCAGAATCTTGCTTTCCACGATGTATGGTCTCTCTAGATGTTACCTCTGCCACCTTGATAAATCTCTCTTCAGACACTTAATCCTTTTAATAGTGTCTTTCTCTGGGATTGACCTTTGACCCTCTGCTTTCTTACATTTGTAAATGTACTTATCGAGGTCCCTGACTTCAATGGATGCATCTATACTGATAATCCCCAAATTTAAATCTCTTCCTTTGGCCTCTCTACTGGTCTCCAGACACATGTACAGCTGTCTAATTGTTACCTCAGTTTGCTCATTTCACACACAATTCAAACAAGCCATCACCCTTCTCCAAGTTTTCCTCTCTGACATTGCCTGTCTGGTAAATGGTACCACTTTTACCCACCAACCACACTGAGGCTTCTCGGTTAACCTTGTTCTATCCATTCAACCACCAAATCTTATTCCCATTCCTAAGTCAATCTCAACCAATGTGTCTCACCCTTGCCCCTGCTCTGGTACAGATCTGCATCTCTTGTCGCTCATATCCTTTTCAATCTGTCTTTAAAGACAATGCTCTGATCATGCCGCTTCTCTGGGTAAAGTTTCTCATTAGATGACCATTTCCTTTTCAACAAAGAGTCATCTAATTAGCGTGAACATAAGGCCGTTGTAACCTGGCCCCTGTTGAGCTCTTTAACATTTATTCTTTCACTTTACTGCCTGTATACGGTTTTTTTTCACAAGTAGCAAAAATGACATTTCCTAAATGTGCCGGGTGTATTAATTCTTTGTGTCTGTTTGTAGGACCTATGTGAAGTATCACCTTCCCAAGGAAACTTTCTCTGATACCCCCCACTCCCGCAACCTAACATAGATACTCCTCCTTTGGCTACAGGAAGGCTATATGCACATCTCTACCTTAGTGCTTGTCAAACCCTTCTGGAATAGGTTTTTTTTCCCCTGACTTTTACACTAAAGACCAAGTTCTATTTACTTTATCTCCCCAAAACCTAGCCCAGTAAGTATTAAATGAATGATTAATATATAAATGAATGAAACATAATAAATGAGAAAATTAAGATACAGGCAAAACATTTGAGCTAAAACATTCAAATGATTCCTCTGAACAATTCCATTTATGTACTTGGATTCCTATTTTCAGACTCTATTTTGCATATTTGGAGAGAAGTTGCATTCTTGCTAATTAAGTATTTCAGTTAATACTGTGGAAAGCTATTTGTGTTATATAAAGTATGCCTATTTTACTAAATAAGAATATAATAAAATACATAAGAATGGCAGTAGAAATGATTCAGTATACAGTGTTCTTCTGTCCTTTGTCCATTGTCATAACTGTCAGTTGTAATTGTATGCTAGATAAGAGAACAGTAGGTTACTAGAAAGTCAGAAGTATTATATTTTATTATGAACTAATCTTACTCTAATCCCCAAAGCAGCTATTTCCTTTTAATAAGGTGGTTTTAAAAGCTCTCCTGGCATCTGCATATACTCGGTAATATGAATATAGCAAGCCTTTAGGTATTTCACTCATCTCTGTGTGATGTTTTAAATTACTAAACATCTCCTTTTGAAATGATTTTCCTGGAGAGGTGGCGGGGTCGTTCAGTCGTTAAGCGTCCGACTTTGGATTTATGCTCAGGTGATGATCTCGCGGTTCATGAGTTTAAGCCCCACATCTGAGTCTCTGCTGACAGTTCAGAGCCTGGAACCTCCTTCTCTCTCTGCCCCTCCCCCGTTCACGCAAGCACGCTCTCTTTCTCTCTCTCTCTCAAAAATAAACAAATATTTAAAAAAATGAAAAAGTTTTCATGGAATGCTGTATCTTCCTTAAAGTCTAAACCTTCCCCCCAACCCCGCAAAAACAAAACATAACAAACAAACAAAAAACCCTACTTTTTCCCTAGAGTTTGATTCACCAGAGGTTCCCTTTTTCACCACTTCCTTACTATGGTACTAGATACTAAGATTCTCGGTGGCTGTGTATGGAGTCTGCATTATTGAAGCTGTTCCTTTTTAGTTTGACCACTGTAGAGGATTTCCAACCTTCCAAAGTCCCTAATGTATTCTCTGCAAAGCCAAGGTTAAATTCAAGAATGTAACACAATAGAGAACAGAAATTAGACTGTTTCTTCCTCTCCTTGGGATTGTGGACTGCTTGACCACAAAGAGTCCTCTTTTAAAAAGAATTCACGTACTCATATACTCACAGATGTTAAAAACAGGTTCAGGGGGTCCTGTATCTCTAAAAGCATTTCATTGACGCTTTAGGGTCCATGGAGCTCAGGTAGGTTAGCTATGGATTCAGGTTTGGTTATTTCTGTAGTAAAGGATGTTGTGTTGTATTGGGCAGGGTAGAAGTTGAGGCCAAAGCAGAGATAACCAGGAGGTGGAGAAGGGGTTGGATTTAGTGAAAGAAGTTGGAACTTCCTCCTAAGGAAACATTAAAACTAAATTGAAGCATATTTACAAAACTAAGACCAGTAAGTCAGAAAGTAAACTTGATAGGGAAGAGTGAAACATAATTTTACCTAAGTTTCAAGAGGAATATTGGCTTTCCAGAGTCACCTTATTGCTCAATAAATTGTCACCAAGTAGGAAACCTCATATTTCATCCGATCATCAGACGAAACTGATTTGCAGAGTTGGGAGTAGTTAAGTACCATCATCTGCAAAGCATAATGCTTGCTTATGTCTAATATTTTGTCTAGTAATAATACACAACCACAAAGTTATGGCCAGTTCAATTTCATATGTATAACTGAATTGTGTTAGATTTTGTTAGTTGAATATAGCAAGGCCTTTTCTTTGGTTGGGAAAGCATGTTTCTATATTAGGTATTAACAGTCTACTCTATGTCACAACTTTAAGATTGCATGTAATCTAGCTCAAGGTCTGATACTATCATGAGATTGGAATACGAAAAGTTTATTATCATTCTTGAATGGCAAGTTGTATTAACCTCATTTAACCCAGTCAAGTGTTCTGTAGCACCAAATGCAGAAATTTTTTGACAATCTGTCCTCCTGGTTTTTGCATACTTTAATTATTTCACTTTCAACAATCTGTCTGTGTGCTCTTCAGCTTGGATTGTCCTTTGCTAAACTACTTGATTCCTCTGATTGACAAAAGAATGATAAAAGCATATTTAAACCCAATTCCTTTTATTACTGACCATCTGCACTCAAATGTGAAGTGTCATTAAATGTTAGGCTATCACAAGTCTATAGTTTTTGCTTCCTATAGTACTTAATAACGATGGAGCAAAGCATCTTTAGACCAATAGACTGGCTGATTACTGAACTTGATCAGAGTTGTGACTTTCTGAAAAAAAAAATACACATTGATGACAAAGGAGAATGACTTTGCTTTGACTGGCAGTTTTTAATTGATATCATTGTATCTAACAAGATTACTTAGTGCCATTGGCTTAATTTCATTCTGCTCATACTGTGAAAGAGGCAAGAGTTGGATGAATGATGCATCTTCAGGTGATTGTAGGACAGTCACTTGTAGAGATTAACATCTTTTGAAATTGATAGCTATAGCCTTTAAAACTTTCTGAAATAAAAAGTCGTGGTTTTAAAGATGTTTAGATAGCATTATAGACACATTCATTGTAATTTGCATCTGATATATAGTTATGATACTTTGCAATTTGTTTAGGCAAAAATATTCTTTGCCATCAGAGCAGTAACATTTGTTAGCTCAGCAAACCAAAATGTTCCCTTGACATTGTGTAGGTGTTATGTTTTTTGTTGATAATGTACTGCTTTTCATCTTCTATTAATGTTTGGAAAATAAATCTAGAGTCTAAGAAAGTCATTAAGTATTCAGCATGGATCACTGCAGTCAGGGAAGCCCCTGCTCATGCATGTGTGTGGGAAGGAAGCAGACATGGAACATTTAAATATTTAATCAAGTATGCTTTATGGAAAGTAGACTGGACTTGGACATGGTTAGGCACAATCTCATGGAAAGCTATCTATATCAATGGTTAGGATTTAAGTACTTTCAAGTGATTTCGTCTTGGAGAATGGTTGTCATGAAGATGCCCATTATCACATCAAGCTCTCATCATTTTTCTTTTGAAAGCAATTTGGAATGCATTCACAACTGACCTTGAGCATTTTTTCATGAAAATCTGCAAATCTTCAAGAGGGTAAAATTTTCCCTATCCCATATTAAAAAAGAATGTACAAGTCTCTTAAGGATCCTGAAGAATGCTTATAGCAAGTTTTCCTAAGTATGGTGATGAGTAATTTAGAAATAAAACTACATTTTTGTCTTACTCATGATTTGAAAGGCATTTAAGAAAATAATTACACAGTATTACATGGGTAGCAACCTAATCATAATTAGTTCTTTTTTAAAGCATTTAAATGTGAATCCTGAAAACCAGGAATTATATTTGGGGTTTTTTTTTTTTGAGTACATAAAAAGACTAGGTTGTTCACTTAATTATAATAATCATAGTTGTTACTTATCATTTACTATGTACTTGGTGCAGTGATAAGTGCTGTATATACATCAGCTAATGAAGAATGATGTAGACACTGGTGGTATACTCATAATTTGTACAGAGAAACAAAGACTTAAAGAATTCAATGACTTGCCCAAGTCTCAATAACTGATGAGAATATTCAAACCAGGAATGATCTGACTCCAGAACCCGCATTCTCAACCAGCACACACACTAGGGTCTTTCTTAAACTCCCCATGTACCTGAACTAACAAAAGTCTACCTAGGGTTGACATTAGAGTGAGGGACCCCAAAACACAGTCTGGTTGCTAGAATAAGGCAATTTTCAGATTAATTTAGAATGATGGCTTTCAGTTCTCATTGCATATTAGAATCATCAAGGGAATTTTAAAATATACTGAGGTTCTGATCCAACTGATGTTGGGTGGGGCCTGGGCACTGGTATTTTTTACTTGTTCTGTAATTGATGTTAATGTGTAGCCATTTAGAGACGCATTTATTTAGAGCAACCTATGTCTTTCAGGATGCCAGAATTTGGTGGAAATACTTCAGGTTTGTTTCAAGTTTGATTTTTAATACATTTGAACTATTAAATAGGTAAAATAATATAAAATATACATTGATATATGTATTAGGTATAAAGGTTTAATAGGTTTAATCTCAGACTGAATCAAGCTCACTTTAACTTCAGGGTCTTTGCAATTGGCTTACAATACTTAGAAGCTTTACCTGGATGGTTTCCTCTCTTGATTAAGGTTTCTACTCTAATGTTCCTTCAGAGAGAGATGGCCTATGAATATCCTCCAAAATAACTCTGTCCAAATTGTTTATCACATTATAAAATTTTTTTCTTTAAATGATTGTAATTGTCTGAAATAATATTTTTACTTGTTTAGTGTTGGTATCCTTGAAAGAAATGTGAGCAGAGATCTTGTCTGTTTTATCTTAGCATGTATATATCCCTAGCAGTGAGGAGTGGAGTTGGGAACGTAATAAGCACTCAATAAATGCCTCTTGAATGAATGAATGGACAGCAAACATTTAGGACAGATTTTTGGTCAGTGCATCTGTTGATAAACTAAACTTGCTGTCCTCACTTTGAACACACATTCTATGTATCATTTTCTACATAATTGGAAAGAGAATACAACTGCTGCACAAATAGAGGTGTTCTGTGTTCAGTTTAAAATGAAGGTTATTTGATAAAGCCTTTGCATGGTGACTCATTTGAGAATAATACTGTATCTGGAAAATATTAGTTAGGTTTTCAGTAAAATAACTCCTGTAGTGTGTAACAAGACTGAGTTTTTAGACTATCCGGCAACATAAAAAAAAATAATAGAAGATACTGCTTTTTGGATGAGTGTGTATCATTAGTAACAGTAGATAGAATTGTGTAGCTTATACCAGCTTGAAGGGAACTTGGGTTTTGAATTCTAGACCATATCATTATTTCCTTTGGTGGCAGTGCTTTCCAACCTTGGCACAATATTCTTTGGACAAAGTAAAACTGGTTGGGAAAGATTCCTTTTCTAGAGATAAGAAGCTGAACAATATGTAGTAATGAAAATCTCTCCTAGAAGGGGGATTAGCTTTTGTCTGCTTATCCATAATGGCAGTTTCTAGAAAATGCCCAAGCCAAGTAAAGATTCCTAGAATAATATAAAGGAAAGCTCACCTCT